ATTCCCAGTTCTCAGCTCTAAAGGAAAAATGTGCTCACTAACCAGAACTGGCTCCCAGCAGCCACCCTGTGGGTATACTCCAGGCTTGGTGACAGATGCCCACTGCGAGCTTCATGCCTGTGTCCCTGGACATTTTTCTAGGCACACTATGGTCATTCTGCTCACACCTACACATAATGTCTTAACAAAAATCAGAACATACTGCAATAGAGCTCAGAGTCGATTATTTGCTCAACAGTGTTCATGGGCATCTTTACAAGATGCAAACAATCCCATTCTTTTTTGAAAGATAAATAATGCCCTCCTAGTGGTCATTGCTGCAGCATAAACATCCTTAGGAATGACTGTTTGTTTAGTAGTATAAATATTTCTGAGAATGCTGTATCAGGAACATGTACTATTAACTTTATACATGCCATCTTTCTTTGCTTTAAAAGAGTTGTGCCAGTCTGCAGTTTAAAACTTCTAATAATATTGTTCTGCTAATTTCTTCACATCAGCCCCACCCCGGTACAATTTCATTGCATCGTCTCAATCCCACCCTCACCCCCCATCTTTGGCCGTTTGTATTTCTTACGGGTTGACTGCCCACTCTTCAGGTGCATTCTTTTCTTACCGGTTTATACAAGTCCTTCAAGCAGTATGGTGTCCATCTCTTTCCGGACTTCATGTGGTGTTTTTGTCTTTGACACCTTCTGGTTTCTTTGGCTCAGAGTTGTTTTCTCCCCAATATCATTGGGTTTTCCTATTTTTTATATTAATATTACCTTTACCGTAGGGCATTTCACATTGGTGTCATGCTTTGCCATACCATTTATTTAGGTTTTATGTTCTTCAGCAACAGTTTGTATCATTTCTCTTTGTATAGATTTTATATTTTTAAGTCCTGCTTTACCGTTTTGTATTGCTGAATGAATACGCTGTTTTCTTTACATTTTACAACTGAATTAACTAGGACTTGTATATTAGTCTGCGTGTACCATCTGAATTCTCATTCCTTTACTAATATTGTATCATTGTAAAGATTAATCGCCAAAAATGCAATGCCAACCTGTGTATGAAATGTAAACTTCAGAAATTCTGGGGGGAGGGGGAGATGAGAAGGAGCAGTGACAAGGCTAGGACCTCCCTCAGAATTGGCAGACACCGCGAAGTGTGAGGACTTGTGTGACGTACAGCCTCAGTGATAGGTTGTTCGGTTAGTAGAAGGTCGTTCTTAATGCAGAGTGCTCTTCCACACCCCACAAAAAAACAGCAGCAAACAGGTGTCGTCATAAAGAAAACAAAAATAAAGCCAACCAAGTAGGAATTGGACAGGTTACAGTCTCTGGTGGTAATAAACTAAGTAACTCCACCATTAAAAGAGAGCTGTGAGGTGGGCCTATAACGACGTAGTGGTAGACTGCTTGGTTAGTATATACAAGTCTCTGTGTTCAGCCCCCAATAGTTTAAAAAAAAAAGATAACTATAAATAAACTGGTCATATGGAAATATTGAGATACTTTTCTAGATTATTTACTCTTCAAAGTATTGTGTTCTTTGACTAAAGGAAAAACTAAAAATATGTATTATCCAGCGATGAGCAGAATTCATAAAAATTCAGATGGAAATAATTATTCTATTAATTGAATTTGAAAATTAATAAGAAAAGTTTAAACTAAGAAAAGTGCAAGGGAAAACAAAGATGATGGGGGAGAAATTGTACAGGGTAAATGTAGAAATCACTAGATTAACAAATAAAAGAAGAATGTTTCCAAAACGAAAATAAAACTTCATGTTAATTTTTAAAATAAATAATTTGACTAAACTCCTGGCAGACCTGACATTTGTGAATAGAGAAAATCTAAAGGGGGCGCGTGCGCGCGCACACACACTAGTCAGTTCAACCAAACTAAAGCTAAGATAGTAAGAAATACTGTGTAGAGATTTTAGCCAATACAGTTTAAAGTTGAGATTGAGGAGTTTATAGAAAAATCTTTGATCATAATCAAAACTGACTCATGAAGAGGGTGAAACATGCATGAACCAATTACCAAGAAGAAATTCCAACATTTGTAAAGACACACGCTGACAAAGATGTAGGCCAGAGTTTTGCCGGTGAGTTTACCTCTCAGAGGATTAATTATTCTTGTCTTTAATGCTTCAGGGATAAAGAAGGAAGTGGAATGCTTGCATATTCCTGATGTCAAAACAGGAAAAAAGTAACACACAAAAGCCCTATAGGCTACTCTCACTTATGAAAATATTAATGTCCTTAAAAACGTTTGTGGACAGTTCATAAGTGTATTAAGAGGATAAAAAGCAATGACTAGGAATGATTTATTCCACGAAGGCAGGATTGCTGCAGTATTAGGAACTCTAACGTCCTGTCTGTCATTATAAAACAAAGAATAATCACATGGTCACTATGAACAGATATTTTTAAAGAATCAGATAAAAACCTGTATTTTTGAGTGGTGAGTAAATTTTAAAATGAGTAGGAGGGAAATTCCTAAACCTATCAAATGTTCTTATTTTTAATGTTGAAACATTTTTAATGACCGTAGTAGATTCTGCAGACTAAAGTATTGAATGTGAAGATAGCATTGCGAAATTTATTAGGATGAGATACCAGAGATCAGTTTCCTTGGTGCATCTTAAAATAACAAGGCATTCGGTTTGAGATTCCACCTGTCACAATGCTAGGCTTTATTTTGAATTGAGGCAAATGAATAAATAGATGTGTGCCTTCACAGTGTGTATGTGTGCGTGTGCGCGCCATTCAAGCAGAACTTGGTGAACAGTTGGCAGCTGACTTGTGTTTACAGTATGTCAGAAATAAAGAGGTGCTCCTCCTTCTGTGAACGCTAATAAAGTAAAAGTGTATTTGCCCAATTATCTTCCTAGGACTGATTGCCTTAAGATCACTACTCTGATATTGAGACCTAGTTGTTATGGACACAGTATCATAATAGATATTTACAGACATGCAGTGGATAACACCTTGTCCAAGCCCTCAGGAAGGAATCATGAACTGTTAGAGGTAGCATTGAGTTCAGGATGCTGGTGGCATGAGACTGGACCTTGTGGGAGAAATAGAATTTCCACACATAGAGAGAGGAAGAAAAAGCTTTAAGCTAAGAAAACAGAATGAACAAATGTGTGATGGCAAGAACTATAGGCTGCTAGTTGGTGGTGCTTAGACTCCGATAAGCGTTCCCTCAAGCATGTCAAAATAAGAAAAAGAAGAAAGGAGAAAACAGATGAGCAAAGGCTCTCTTTGGTGAGTTAGCATAAAGTTCAGACACCTTCATTTTCCCAAAGGTTCTACAGACGGTTCCATTCACTGTAAGGGTTGAAAACAGTGGTGCAGTCTAGCATTTAACTAGAGTAACAAGGATGTAGGGGCACCATGGGAGATGCCAGAAAGAAACATTAGAGCCAGGTGAGAACCAAGATAGTGTTGTTTTGATTCAGTTTGTATTTTGTTTTTATTTCTATTACATTACCATAATTCTTCCAATTTTTTGTTACTATTTTAAGATAGGGTCTTGACTCTGTAGCCTAGGCTGGTTTTAAAACTCATGGTCCTCCTGCCTCAGCCTCCCAGGTGCTAAGGTTAGGCATGTGCCACCATGTCTGATATAGACTCCTCCATTAGATATCAACCAAGTGTCTGTTAAATACAATTGACCCCTGGGTGAATTTGAAACAAAACATGAGTTGAAGAGGTGAGAACTGTCAGTGTCTCTGTATACTCACCCCCAAAAGCTAAAACAACACGATTTTGTTATTGCTCATACTCTTGTAGGTTGATGGGACTCACCTCAGCAGTCTTGAGTCATCTGGGGGACAAGCTGGTCTCAAATGTCCAATATTGGTGGCTCACATAGCTCTCAACTGACAGCCTAGCAGGGACTTGTCAGAGCATCTTGTGGACATCTCACAGAATCACTGCTGAGTCCAGAGAGGAGGTGCCTCAAAAGCAAGTGCTTGGAAGGGCCCAGGCTACAAAACACCCGATGAGCTAGGCTTGATAGCCTCAGACATCACTGCCATGTTCTGTAGGTCAAGCAGCTAGCATTCAGTGGAAGCCGAGTAGACTCCATTCTGTGAATGTGTACATAAAGAAGAGAAGGAAATATTTTTAGAGACTTGCTACCACAACATCGATACACCAACTAACACAGGATCAAAGTATATGAAGTCAATATTTCAGGAAATTTAGATAGTAACACAGACAAAATAGTGAGGATAAAGAGACCTGAATAATGTCAAATGTGTATTAAAATATGTGACAATATTGATGGACTGTCTGACACTAGAGTGCACCCTTGTGTCCGGTATCTCCAGACCAGAGAAGCCCTTGATTCCCTGCACACACAGGAACCTGAAGCTTTGACCTGACGTCTAAGATTACAGCTGTGCTTCTCCATCTGTTCTGTTAAATGTGTTCTTGGGATGACTTCTTCATCCTTGGGTGCAAACACTTGGGTTATGCATTCTCTCTTGTTTTTCCTCTGTCTCGTTTGCTAAAAAAGAGCGGCAGCAGGGAAGGGGGTTTGTTTTGGTTCCCCATAGTGTGGCAATAAGAACAGTTTTGACTTGGCCTGGGACCCTCAGTGTGCTGCAGGGTCGTCCTCCAGCAGCCGCTGGGGTCCTGTTTTCTAACCGTGACTTGGGAATTCAGCCGTCATTGGTTTCTGTGTGTTTGAAGTCTCATGAGTGGGGGAGTTTTGTGATAAGAATTTGGTTTTGTTTAATTTTTTACTTGCTTTCTGAAACTTATGTTATTTGCCATTCCTGGTCCCATGAAGACAGTCTGAAATGGGAGCCCCAGGTTCAGGACTATGCAGTGTGATGCGGTTTCCTGTCCTGTGCACTTCATGTCTTTGTCATGCCGTTGCCATGATGCATAGACATGCTGCAGGAACTGGATCTTGTTGTTGAGCCACACAGGATTGGCATGTAATCCATCAGCTGGATTCCTCGTTAATGCCCAGATCCTTTTGCTGTTGCAGGTCGTCACGCTGTGGTACCGAGCCCCAGAAGTCTTGCTCCAGTCCAGCTACGCCACCCCTGTGGACCTCTGGAGTGTTGGCTGCATATTTGCAGAAATGTTTCGCAGAAAGTAAGAACTCCATTTCCTCTTTGAATCCTCAGTCTATTAAGTGGCAGCATGGCGTTTCTGTCTCAGTTGAGGTCGTGATCGTACCCACCTGCACTCAGTCCTGTCCTAGGTCCACAGTCCACAGTCCTTACAAGGACTGTAGCGCCTGGTTGTAGAAGCTGTCTGGAGCGTAAACGCCCGCTGCCTTACTAGTCAACTTGAAACATCTTACAGTATTTTTAGTGAAGAAAGACCCTCAGGGTGGGCTTTTTCCACAGGAGGATGATCAGGGCTATGAAATACACAGGAGTTTTTATCAGGAGTCCTAATGGGGAAACCGTTGTGGGGGGAGGGGTACAAGGTGAAGGGAAGGCAGACATGAGTGGTGCCTCACAGTACTGACAGAGTGTTGCCATACGGAGGAGAGATCTGGCACATTTGGGCATGGGAGAGTGTTGTTGGTTGTTTTTGCTCTTTGCTCTTTTGGCTCTTGTGGGGGGGCGGGGTCCACCACCCAGCTACTAAATAAAAACACACAGAGAGACTTATTATTACTTATGAAAGACCGATCTTAGCTTGGCTTGTTTCTTGCCAGTTTTTCTTAACCTAAATTAGCCCATCTACCTTTTGCCTCTGGGCTCTTACCTTTTCTATTTCTGTATATCTATCTTCCTTCCTTCCTTCCTTCCTTCCTCCCTCCCTCCCTCCCTCCCTGTTTCCCTCCCCAGAATGCCTATGGCAAATGGAGAAAACCGACTCTCACCAGTTCCCTGACCTTCATGGGCCTACTGTGGCATGCACGTGCACACAAAGTAAAATGCATGCTTGAAAAGGATGATCCTGATCAGACAGGATTTTATGTGTTCTCAGTGTCCAAGTGTCCACTCCACATTGGAGATGTTTTCAGCGGTGGTGGGAGAGTTGTGTCATGTCCAGGGCCACACTGCATGTGAAAGCTGCAGTTCACTCTATCTTTAGGTCACAAAAATTGGCCAACAGTACAATAAGGTTCTGTCAGGGAGCTAACCCTATCTTTTCTGTTTTTGTTTCCCTCGAGAGAGGTGAGTGAGGAAGCTGGGTGTGTTCCCACTGAGCATGTTCAGAATATAGCTCTGTGTAGCTTCTTTTCTGAGGAAAGAAGTGGTCAGCCATTGTGGCCTGCTGTCTGTGAGAGCCAGAGGAAGTATGTGTGGGTGAATTTTGTGAAGGGCTTCTAGACCTCAGCAAAATTCACTGTAACTCACAGGATGGGATTGTGGCAAAGACACACTTGAGAATACAAAGAATGTTTCATGCTGGCCTGCCTACTGTGTGTCAAGAGCATTGCCAGAGTTTTCCCATTGTGTTTCCTTTTCTAATCCTTGATGTAAGAAGAAACTGAATGAATGGCAGCTAAGAAATAGCAGGGGTATGAATTGAAAGGGAGTCCAGTAAATTCTAATCTAGTAATGTTTTAAAAAAAAAAAAACAAGGGCAGGAATACAAATTAGCCATCAACTAAACTGCAGTGACTACCAACCAGGCTACATAAGTAGGGCTTGGGACAGTTGAGGAAGAAGGGCTTGTGTATATTGCATGCATGTGAAGACCAGAAGTCTACCTCAGTGTCATCCACATTTTTTGAGACTGCCATCTCACTGGACTAGCTGATTCAGCTAGGCTGGCTGGCCGTAAGGGTCATCCCTGTTTCTACCTCCCAGCCCTAGTATTACAGGCTCAGGCCATCATGCCCTGCTCTTTATGTTGGTGCTGGAGGTGCCTGTGCCTGCTGGGCAAGCACTTTACCAACTAAGCCGTGTCTTCTGCCCTTCCATAGGTCGTTTTTGGAAGTGTGGTCCCTGTGTGGTGCTTCATCATTACTTGGGCCTTTCTTAGGATCCATCCTACATCTACTGATCTGGGATTCTGGATTCTACCTCTCTGTGTTTTGGCAAACCCTCCACTTGATCCTAATAAGAACCAGGCTAAGAACCGCTAGACTGGATGATGGTGTTGCCAGAAATGGGCAGTACTTAAAAATGTGTATCTCCGGCACTCCTTGAGGCTCTGATTCATTACCGAGTTGGGCCAGGAATTCTGTTTTTTTTTTTTTGTTTTGTTTTGATTTTTTTGTTTGTTTGTTTGTTTTTTTGTTTTTCGAGACAGGGTTTCTCTGTGTAGCTTTGCGCCTTTTCCTGGAACTCACTCGGTAGCCCAGGCTGGCCTCGAACTCACAGAGATCCGCCTGGCTCTGCCTCCCGAGTGCTGGGATTAAAGGCGTGCGCCACCACCGCCCGGCTGTTTTTTTTTTTTTTTTAAAGTGCCTCAGGTGATTCCTTTATCCAACAGGAGTGGAACATATTAGGTTAAAGGTCAGAGATGGGATTAAGACCCAGAAGTAGAGAGTTAGGACAGGTGTTTCAGGCTACCCAGGGAATAACTTAATACTAAAGAGTCTATTAGAACAATGCTCATTGCAATTATATTTATGAGTCTAGAATTTTCCTCAGTGTAAAAATGGGGTCCCTATTTTGGGGGTGGGGAGGTCAGTTACTTTTCCACAATACTATTTATTAGATTAGCCATGATTGGTGATTTTTAAAACCTGTTTTTGAAGATGCTAGAAGAAAGATAAAACTTAAAATATTAGAATTGAGCATTCACTAGTCCGTTATTGGCTCCATTTTAAAGTCTGAGTGATAGCCACTTATGGAAGAATTCAACCCCAAGTTTCACTTTATTTCCACCTAAGTGATTAGTGTAAATGGATAGTCAGGTTCCCATGCTAGCTTGAGGGCTCCTGAATAATTGGGAACTTACATGCAACATTATATTGCTAGGTCATCAAAACCTTTTCCCTATGGGAAATTTTCCTTCTGTATTCCAATCCAACATGACAAGAGCAGCCCTCCTCCCACCTCAGAATTAGGACTGGGAAAGGAGGCTCAAGGAAAGGCTTCCTTGGTGACAGTGACAATCCTCTACTTTCCTTGGCTTCGAGAGTAAGATACTGGTTGAGACCCATTGGCTCCTTGGAGTGTGGACACAGGAGAGTGCCCTTCTCCTAAAGGTGCTATATGAAGGCAGGAGGTTGCGAGAGAAATGAGGGACTGAAGGATTGAAGGAGGAAGCAGTAGCAGAAACTGGGTCCTAAACCTAAGCAGAGTAAATCTAGACCAGACACCTAACCTTCCTAGGATGCCCTGTCCCTGCCTGACCCCTGCTGCTTGACTGTGACCTTGAACCTGGACGCAGTCTTTGATCTTTGTTTCTGCTCGGCTCACAGTGATACTCCTGTGATTCTCCAGATGTCTTGTCTGGGCACGGCCTGCTTCTTACTTAGGCCGGAAGTGTCCCAGTACTCCAGCATCACCAGGATCCACCTGGACTCCTGATTCTGTGTAGATCCTATTGAGAATGCAGAAGCCCAGGATCCTGAAAGCATACTCTTTGATTACTGTAGAATAATCTAAGTCAGGGAATATTGGTACCTGTCCATTTTGTGTTCCCACTTGTTGCAGAGACAGTAATTTCTATATTGTATCATCTTTATTACCCTCATTGTTTTTGTTATATCCTTATGGCAGCTTTACTACCATTTCCTTTTTTTTTTTTTTTTTTTGCTACCCTGAATCAGCTTACTTTTTCATTTAGCCTCACTCTAAACAAGATTATATAAAACCATAGCTTTGGTAAACTGGTGATTTATTTGTCTGATAAGCATTCGGATCTATTTAAATATCACACATCACCAGCTGAAAGTGCCTGATGTCAAAACCCTATAATAACAACTCTTCAGGGATGATGACTGTCTTAAATCCTAGTGAAGAAGAAAGTTATTGTGTGCGTGATGCGTTCATTAAGCAGAACTGCCTTATAAAGGATGGAGTGCTGTGGGTTGGTATAAGAAGACTGTTTGGGGGAGTAAAGAATTCTCAATGTAAGCCTAAAAGCCACATCCTAGTTATTTATAATTATATAATTATATTTATATTAATATATATTTATATATAATTATATTTATATTAAAATCTTTGAGGAATAATCATTTTTGCATGAGCAAAACTTGCTATCCTCCATAACCTGGGAGAAGAAAAGAAGCCATGGGACCTAAACGCCCGTGTTCTGACAAGCCCCGGCCCAGGGCCTTCACACACATTATCTCACCAGGCCACATTCGGAGGCCCAGAATCCAGAGGCTAGTGATGTGGGCTCCTCCCAAGTAGGATGAGTAACTTATTCAGGAACACCAACTCTCACATGTAGAGCCAGATCAGAAACAAGTCTGCCTGACGCCGTAGCTGTTGGTTTCTCTGCTCTGTTGTGGTTTTGCTCCTGACATTACCAAACACACAAAGCCTGTATTTTTTTCTAGAGTATTTTATGTATTACTATAAGAGAAGGGCAGTGACATTTTCGAGGTGGAGAAGCAGATCACACAGTCATTGACCTTGATTCCCGGTCTCCTTATCATTGGAAAGATTGATTGGTTCTCATTAACATTATCAAGAGATACATGCTTTCTATTCTAAAATTGATGCCTAGGAAATGCAAGCTCAATAAAGAAGTCTTAGAACAGATGGTTGCCAAAGAGCCAGAGAGTTAAATACCATCTGTCACTATTATCTGAGTTTAATAACTGCCTGCACTGACCCACAGAAGCATTCTACAAAATGGACAAAATGGATTAGAGCTAGATTGTTTTAATCTTCCCTCTCTAGCTCTTTGTAAGTGACCCGTCTTAACATCACATTAAGTTGTATTTTACACTCAAATGGTCAGAATTTTGGTCAGTAGCCATATAGTTAAATGATTGGAGGGTTAGAGGGAGACAAGCGGGGGATGAGGTGGTATTTAACTATGTGCTGAAATAAATTAATGATCTCAACTCTGCACGTATCTCTTAGTTGCCTTGGGGTACTGGCCAGAACTGTTAGTTTATGGTTTGAAAGTTATGGGGTTTTTCAGGTTAAAGCAAAGTCAGAGAATGTGCATTGAAAAAATAAAATACGCTACTGATTCTTTGAATATGGAGATTGTGG